ATAGGTGTGTTGTAGGGTTTTCCTTTTTGTTATTATTAGTATAGTTTGTTTGCTGTCAATTGTATGCATGCAATATGGTTTTCACACATACAACTTCTTAATTATATGGTGCTGACTATTACAAAGCTATTGTTTTATGTTATTGTTTATTTTCATTTAATACCTAAGAACTATCATCCTCATAGTTATGGTATTATAGTATTGTCAATTGTTGTTGCATGTAATCTAACTAGTTATTTTTACGTTCATCCGGTGATAATGCGGCCATTGATGAATTTTGCCGTAAAATGTATCCCCGCAAGCATGTAATATAAGCATCCATTAAAATGAACTAGCTATGTCCACTATATATTCGGCAACTATTATATCCGCTCTACGGTGGCCTAATGTTTTTGAAGTGAGGAGCAGCGTACCATCATTTCTCATTTTGTATACGTGCTATATTGTCCACACTCAGTGAGGTGGTTTGTCCACCCCATAGAACTATATTAGATTGCTAGATCTCCCTGTCCTAATTGTTGATCTTAAAAACATTTAAAAATAACAACTAATTAAGTAATAGGGGATCATGTGGTGGGGGTAGGGGCAGAGAGCGCGTGTAGGGTGAGGGTGCGGATTGGATTTAGGGGACCATCAATAAATATTAAATAAATTTAAAAAAATAAATGAGAAAATACATATGAAAGGAGACCGACAGTTTTCTAAAACCAACTAGAAGATTAAAAAAAAAAAAAAAAGGAAAAAATATGTAAGAGAATGGATACCTTTCTAATTTGAATTGGAAACTGGATCGGTGAGCTTTCAAAAACATTTATTGTACGGATAACATATACATGTCATGCGTAGAGCTGGCAACGGGTCGACCCAGCTTTGGCCATGTTCCCCATGGGGCCATCCTAACCCCTGTCAAGCTTGAATAGTGCCAATGAAGCCTAGGATCAGGCCTGATGCTCGCCCTTTATGGGTAGGGCGGCTAGATGTAATTTAAGAAAAATAAATAAAAGTAAAAAAAAAGAGCGGCAGACAAAGGCCGGCCGCAGACCCAACTCCAGCCTTAGGTCATGATGGACCACCCCTGGCTCGGCCCTCCCTCGAGCCACATTTTACAGTCCAAGCCCTAATTTTTTAATGCCGTGTCGCCCGGCCCACTGCCACCCTTAGTCATGTGATGTGTGCCCGTGCCTCCACCTCCATTGTATGCTAAAATATCACTTGAAGCTGATGTTTGAAAACAGAACAGTAGCCTGGATTGGCCATTCAGAGTTCGGATCGATAGTCCGGATTGGTGAATCTGCCGAATCTAGCCTTAAAAAAATTACATAAAATCACTAAATATCCTTTACATATTATTTTTTTAAGTTTACCAATAAAATGGTACTTTTGTTATTTTACAAGAAGACCCTATTTTTGAGACGTTTTTGTGTTTTAAAGTCTGTTAATAATTATATTCACATCGTAATAAAAGATGAGCATACAATTATCATGGATAATGTAACTATTAAAATACAATTGTCATTAATGCATGGTTCAAAATGGATCCTAGAGCTACTACAATACAACCTTATACCAAAATTAATGACGGCATTGTTCTTCCTATTCATGATGTTGGTGCCGGTCGTTTAATTGTTTCGACAATTTATGAACAAAATGACGTACATAAGGCTGCATAAACCTGGAAACCACACGTCATGGATATAAAAGAAACCTTATAAACCAAGCTAGCATCTTATTTATTGAATAAATATAAATTACAATCTCATATATCAAATTCTTTTAAAAATTACAAATTGAGAGATTAGATAAATTAATAATTTCTATAGTTATAATTGATAATGTAATTCTTTTTTACAAAAGGAATTATACACTTACACTCTTTTGTAATAACTCATAAATAACAATTTCAAATAAAATTTATTTACATAAAAAAAGTATAAAATAAAGAAAGATCAATATAAATTAGAAAATTTATAAAAAAAATAAGATAGACCTTGTGAACAAAACTCCTGAACAAAATTTCATATTATAACCTTCAAAAAGATTTTTTCTTTTAAAAATACTAATTTATCTGAAAATTAAAAACCAATCATAAAAATTGCAAAAAATTGGTTATTAGCATTGATCCTTCATAACAGCATATGCGTCATAGCCTAAGAAAAAATAAGTAATTTATTAATAATTCTTCAATACAATAGTATGTACTAGGAATTCCTAAAGCCTAGCTTGTTTTGAGCTAGATCTATACGGTAACCAGTGTACATGAAACAAATTGGATAAATAAAGCTCTAGCTTGATTCAATATGATTAATTTGAACAAAATTTCACCAAATTTGGTTAAAAAATACGAAGAAATCCTTGTCTAGTTGGCTTTCATAAACCTTAAATATCTAAAATCTTGAGCACGAAACTCGAAAGAAGAAAAAAGATATAAATTTATAAATATAGTTACCTCCCGTAGAAGAGATTTAAGTGCTTATAGATCCAAATCCCAACTTCAATTTACAAAATACATACAAATCTGTTGTTTAATCACACGAATTGAAACAAGCTTCTTGTAGGAAGGTTCAATTACCTAAATTTAGAACCAAATTAAAAAGACTTCCGTTCTAAATCGAAATTGAAACTCCAAGAATGATGGATTTCTTAACACGATTAAAAATGTGATTTTTTCGATAGAAATTCGATGAAGAACTTGATAAATGAAATTATCCATCGACCTAAGGCGTCTTACAGCTCCGTTTCAATTATTGGAGTCCATTATTGAACTTAAAAAGCCAAACCAAGAAAGAAAAGAATTAAAAGAACAACTGAAACAATCCATTTTTGGTGGTAAGGAATAACCAATTCTCCTTCTGATCGATTCCGAATATAGTAAGGGAATCAATGCACTATTGCAATTTCGAAGTCGAATAAGCTTATTCCAATCCGACTTAGCTTTTTTTTTAAACCTTGCCCCAAACCCTTCTCGCCCAAACTATAAGATATCCAAAAGAAATACTGGAACTGACGATCATACTCCATAGTACTGTTATGTTCCATAGTTTATAATAGAACGGGATTGTATACAATGAGATCATTTACCTTTAGTATAAGGAAGTCACAATTATTTCCAACCATCCGATGTGATATTTGATAGCTTGGGTGTGTCATAAAGTTCAAAAAAATTTCTTTGAACTTTGAGTTTGATCAATGAAATAAATGTAGCCACCCAATTTCTCATCTAATGATAAAGATTAATTGTGAATACTTTGTACTAAAAGGAAACGGGCTCATTATATACTTTCCCTATTAGAACGCTATAATTTCTACATATTTTTCCATAGTACCTATAGTAGGGCAAGAAACGGGTTAGGTTAGGTCGGGTCTAGGTCGGGTAAGACATGGAATAAGACCCGAACCTGAAAGAAACTATGGGACTTGTACTCGATCGGACTTGGACCTAAACTTGGACCCGACCCAAACCTAACCGAACTTGATTGAACCCGACCCAATTTTTTTTAAAATTAAATATTATGTTAAATACATATATATTATTTAAATATTATAACTAAAGTATATATTTATACTTATTTAAATATTATTAAAATATTACATCTTAAATATTATTTAAATACTAACACAATTCGGAGTCAAAGATCCAAGTCGGGGCCACATGGTCCGGGACCCAAGTAGTATTCGGGTCTAATATTTTGGACCCAAGCCTGATCCGTGGCGACCAAGTTCTAGGTCTATACTCAGACCCAGGTCGATCGGGTCTGGGTCAATTGCCAAAAGATTTAAAATTTAATTTGGAAAGAGTTTATATAGAGCCGAGGCTCTAAACAATCAAAATCGAGCCCATCTCAGAAAGTT